CCCCCATCTAATTGGCACACAGGTGGGACACCAACTTGGCCATCTGATCACCATATAAATAATGATGAACCGTTGTCAGAAATACCAGATGTATTGAGCAATTCAATGTCTTTCTTTATTATGCACCCCATACCCATCCCTGGGCGGTGGTGTAAAGGGTTACAGAACAGAGAAGGTAAAACCGGCAAAATAAGTCACTAGGCCTTCCCTTAAAGGCAGAGACATGGAAAACACCAAGCAAACAGCACCTGACACCAAGGCCAAGGCTGGGCTGGCCACCAAGGAGCTTGAAGGAGCCAGTTTGAGAACTAAGGGAAAAACCCAGAAAGAGGTAGGCCTCGTGCCCCATAACAAAGCCCAACCAATCCTTGAACCTCGGCTGTATCGGGAATTGCCAATAAGCCTCCAAGAGATCCAGAGAAATCATCCAAGAGCCTGCCTCGAAAATGAGAGACCTGGAATAGGGTGGTCGTCTAAAAGGAGGGGCAAGGAATGAACAGATTCAACACAAAGATTGAAGATCTTTGAATCTTTGATTCAAAGAATGAAGATCAACCAAAAATCCGGAGAACCAGTTTCGGGACCGGAAAATGCAGGAACCCTTCAGTGGATTTCCTTTGAGGAAATGGTGGTCTCAAAGGAAGAAGAAGCTGGCCAGAAAGACCCTCAAGCGTTAGGGGAATAGCTGACTCAACTGCTTCCGCACCCTCGTCGTAAGAGCTAACCGCAGGAGCCGACCAAAACACATTCTGACCTATACCCTTCCCTAAACCCGAAACGCTTAGATGGTTTAGGGTTGGAAGCAGAGTGGGGAGGATCAGAAGGGCGAATCATGCCCACCAGGGAAGGAAGAGGTGTGGATGGAACCTATGTTGAGGTTGACCAACACCTCCAGTTCCAGATCCCTAAACACCAACCTGGAGCATCCAACCAGGCACACAACTTAGACTGCCATAACCTGGCAAACCTTACACATAAAGCAGTCCCTGCCTGAAAAAACAGAACCTCAGCACATCAGGAGGATTAAAAATGAGTAGTCACACGAGAAAAACAAACCCCACAAGAGTCAGTGTTGAAGGTGACACTGACCCAATTGGCAATAGGCAGAGGTAAGAGGAATGAACATCTCCACATGGCAAGGACAATGTACAACCCTCAAACTTTCATGGAGGAAGAGCAAGTTTGGGGAGATATCCGTAGGGACCATCGAACCTGCAGGGAATTGCCAGTGCCTGAAGAAATTGATCAAATGGGACACAGGCACATTGGCACTGGCCTAAAAGAATACGCTGCCGAATCTATATCAACAGAGTACCAACACTAATAGGATGGCATCCATATCATAATATGTAGGAGCGAACTAAAGGATAGAATCAGTGTTAAGAAGGCCAACACAGCCTGGCTACGATGGTTGAGAAGGCTGAGCTCTACGGGTCAACTAAGTACATGAATACCCAGTGCACCCCAAGCCAGAAAATGCAGCACCCTACCCGAGTAAAGACATGAAATCCAAGGAACCTTACTTGCCCCGGGTGAGCATCACAAGCGAGAAGTGCCTCTAAAGGAGCGACCCCAGAAAAAAACCCTGAGAACGAAGAGAACACCACAGGGGAAGAGAACCCTTTAGTGCAAGGACAGCACTAGAAAGCACCTGGTAAGAAAGCCCTGTGCACATACAACTCCAAGCACTCTTAAGTTCAGGCTCACACTACACTGAACAGGGTAAAGTAAAGTCAACATTGGTAAGAAACCACCACCTGGCTGAAGCGGGTGACCAGAACCCAAGCAGAGAGAAACAACCCAATACACAACACAAATCAGCATAGAACCAAGGGCTGTGTCACCAGCTGAACACACACTACCTCCCCTCTCCCCAAATAGTTAGAGGTAGGGATAAATGAGCTGGCACTTCTTTTGAAACTTTTCCATCATTGGTTTACATTGTTCAGGGGTTCTCCTGGTGGTTCTTGAGGCTACAGTCTCTTCTATGGCCGGCTGTGGTTTGTTTTCTCTCACTGACTTTCTGGGTACCTTCCACTGTGGTGGCATAAATAAACAAATAAATATATAAATGACACTTTTTCCGTGGCTTTCTGGCTTTTGCTCATGGTCCCAGGTAGGCCAGATAGAACTCTGAAGCTGATGCAATTCAGCAGATGGTACACTAATAACCAAAGAGCCAAAGCTCAACCCCCGCAAGCACAACTAGGCGAGTACTAAGTAAGGCATGTCAAACATGTGGCTTGCACAAAGGATCTTGTAATTTGGTCATTTAATGGCCAAAATTTGAGTTTTTGTTATTTAAACTATTACCTTTTAATAGATTTCAAAACCACAAAAACACAAATGCAGCTGTGAGGCACGTGAGTTAAGACTTCTAAAAATAAACATGACATAAACTGCTTAGTAGGCCTGATTTTTGTAAATTTTTAACTGGCGATTTTATTTTTATTATAAGCTATATTGTCTCGTCTGTGACGGGAAAAAACATGCTTTTTTGGGAAAAAAACTGTGTTTTTCATGTGAGGGGGAAATCTTTGAAACCTCTTTACCGACTGCTTTGAAATTTTGACACATATTGTGTTGGAATTCAGCTGTGTTGTTTACCATACCGTTCATTTTTTCCACCTTCCCCCTCTTCCTTCCCATCATGCCCCACACCCCAGTCCCTTTGTCCTCCTCACCATTCTCCTTTCCTACCTTCCCCTTGCCCCCACCATCCCAAACTCCCCCGTCCTCTCATCCTTCCCCACCGGTACCCCCTCCCTTGTCCCCTCGTCCTCCCATTTGGTCTGATGTTCCCATCAGTCAGATTCCACATCATCTTTAAAATGGCAATCGATGAAGAACTGTCTAGATATGTATATAGTAGATATATAAACAGACGTGCTTATTCGAATGCTCATCCAGCTAAAAGAAAAAGAAAACTGAATGAAAGGGGGAGTTTTTCAAGAAAAAAATGGAAATTACAGTATTTTTTGGTTAGTGCAACAGCTAAAAGAAAAAGAAAACGAATGAAGAAGGGGAAGTTTTTCAAGAAAGATACATTGTTGGAATTTGTTTAACAACTGCAGTATTGCCACAGCAAAAAGAGTACAACTTGAAAAGACATTATGAAACGAATCATCGATCTTACGATAAATATGAAGGCCCAATGCGTGTCCCAAGACTCAAGGAATTGAAGGCTAACTTGAGACAGCAACACACATGTTTTACGAAAATCTAGAAAGAAAATGTCGCCTCCATTACTGCCAGCTATGAACTCGGCCGAATGATCGCTATGTGTGAGAAATCTTACAAAGAAGGAGATTTCGTAAAGCATTACCTTGTAAAAACGGCTCAAATTGTGTGTTCAGAGAAAGCACACTAATTCAAAGATATTTTTTTAACCAGGAACACTGTTGCTGAACAGATTGAAGAAAAGTCAGGTGATGTGAACCCAACAGTTGAAGGCTGCATCAAGATTTGAACATTTTTCTATTGCTATTGATGAGACCATTGACATCACTGGAATAGCACAGCTTGCAGTCTTCATCAGGGCTGTGAATTTAATATTTATGAAGAACGGCTTTAACTGATTCCCTCGTGCATGACACTACAACCAGCCAGGACATCTTTGAGAAAGTCGGGTAGGTTCTGAATGACTATGGTTTGGATTCGAGGAAACTTGCATGCTTATCTACCGACGGTGCTGTGAATATGGTTGGCAGACATAATGGTGTTGCTGCCAAGTTATGAACAAAACTAGAAAACTTGCATCCAGTTTCATCATTTGCATATTTTCACTATTATTCATCAGCAAGATTTGTGTTCAAAGATTTTAAAATTGGATCATGTGCTTAGTTTGGTTACAAAGACAGTGAACTATATCGGAGGTCGTGCTCTCGACCACCGCCAATTCAGTCAGATGTTGGAAGATATGGATTATCAGTTTACTGATGTTCCATTCTACACAGAAGTCCACTGGTTGTTATGTCACAAAGTCCTGAAAACATTTTATTTGTTAAGACAAGAAATAATTATGTTTATGGAGATGAAAGGTCAAACACAAGAGAAAATAGGAGATAAAATTTGGCTCCAGGATCCAGGTTTTGCTGTGGACATTCCTGCATAATTAACTGATCTTAATTTGAAATTACAAGGTAAAAAGAAACTTATCACTCGGTTGTATGGTGACATCAAGTGCTTCATTACAAAACTAAGCTTATGGAAATCACAGTTGTCAAATAAAAATTTAGTTAATTTTTCCAAGTGAAAAGAGCTGAAATACACTGCCAATACCGAGTCTGTATTGCTCAGAGTGTCTGATGTCAGGTGAACAATTCCAGGCATCTGGAATTGTTGTCTAAGGAATTTCAGTTAAGATTTTGTGATGTCTCATCTTCTGAACACCACTTTGCATTATTCTCAACACCAATCATCTTTGATCTTGCCAAGGCAGAAGAAAGCCTGCAGATAGAAGAACTGTAGTCAGATTCTACACTCAGAGCAAAGTACTGTATCTTGAAGTGTGGATTCCTGATTTCTTTTCATCCCTTCCTGAAAAGTTTAAAACTTCATAAAGTTCGCCACAAGGATTATGGCAATGTTCATTTCTACCTGTGTGTGTGAACAGTTATTTTCCTTCATGAAATCAACAAACTTCTCAGAACAAGACTGACTCATCAACACTTGTTATTTCTGATCAAAGTGGGGAACTACACAGACATTTCAGCAAGACAGCAAATATTGTCATTAAAAAAAAAGAGCTGTCAAGCCTCGGGGAAAACATTAAAAATGATTCAAAAGTCGTAAATAAATGTTCATTTTGAACTGTTGTAATTTTTGTACTATGTATTAGTTGCTGTTGTATAAAAGTTGCCGTTTAATTGTATATCTTGCCATTTAATTTTTTTTCTTCTTTTGTTAAATTTCTTCATTACTTTGCATTCATGAATCAGGATTGCCTCTAAACCATTTGTATGCACATTATATGTTTCTAAGTTTAAGTAATACAAATATTCTGTAATAATTTTTATTAAATGACTTCAATTAGTTGTATGTGGCCCTCCTGACAACACAAATGTGACCCATATGGCCCTCAAGGGACCCTCAGGTTGACATACCAGCTGTATGTGATTGTAGCTTCACGGAGCCACATGGGCATCCCCCCTGCCCTAGAAAACCGATTTACAAAAGGGGACACAAATCAAAAGTACATGAAAGGATGACTCGTCATCGCTGGAAGGTTGTGATGTTTCACCTTCATCTGTGGTCCAAAAAATGCTGGTCAGTCATCTACATGAGGTTATTGTCACTCCATTCCTTGAGTGCATTATAGGTAGCTTTGGCATGTTGTGGCTGAGCACTAGCATTGTCCTGCATGAAGTCAACAAAAGAGTGTTCCCTCCCTTGCCTTACCAGGTACTCTCCCAGCAAGTTGGTTGCCTGCAACAGGAGAAATGAGGGTTTTGATTTATAACAATAATATCTAAAATGCCAACAAGGGATGCTTTCATAAACATATCCGAAGTCCCTATGCTAAGCACATCTCGCAGTACAAACTCTATTACCCTCCCTCTCCCCCATCTCCTCCCTCTCCCCGATCTCCACCCTCTATCCCTCCCTCTCCCTCCTCCTCCCTCCCTCCCTCCCATCTCCCCCTCCCTTCCTCCTTCTCTTCCCCCTAACGCCTCCTCCCCCTCCATCATTCCCCCTTCTTCCCCACCCCTTCTTCCCCTGCCTGAACATGCCATATTAATTATATTATAAACAGCTGAAAATCTTTCAAACACACTGTGGTAAACAAAACCACAATTTAAGCCATTACAGGATTCACTGACACACAATAGACATCAATCCTTCCTAAAGATTGGCATGGGGTCAACCCTGACCCCCAATCCCTATGACACATTGATGACCTGACTGTGAAATCTTATTGACGACAGATTACAGTGCACTGTATATTAAGATGCTTATTTTTATACAAGGTTAATATAATTATACTAACAGTACTATCTTCACTTTAATTTGTTGGTAATTTATCATAATTTATCATAATATTTATCAAAAAAGGACTTCAGATCTTGTAACCTTTAGTAAAACTAACTTAGTTGCCATGATTTTTATTATATTTTTCATTAACAAAGTTATTATGCCAAATAAAACAATATTTTCATTACTTAATACTGATTAGAAATGCTAGTTCTCACCTGAGTGCATCCATAGTTGGACAGCCTGCGACCTGTTGCTTGCCCCACACCAGGCACTTCTGTCACCCGTTTCCCCCCCATCGGCTCCGAAACAAAATTATGGTATTTTTGGGAAGTTGTCGACATCCTGTGGAATCAGTCATGCGATAAATACCTATCCTTTGAACTACTGCTAGAGATAGTTTTCCAATCACCTGGACTGTATGGGTCTCGAACCTAGAGATAGTTATTTCATCTTTGAAATTTAAATTGGCTTTCTTCTCACAGGTGATTTGTTCAGTAAATACATTAATTAGGAGTTAAAACACAAGATGATCAATAAGGGAAATTCATATATTAAAAACAGCTCAAAATCAAATTGCTTAGATTAGGAGGATAAATGGGTAAATGCATTTCAGGCAGTGATCAACCAGACCTACTGAGCTACAGTTCCAATACTATATACTGTATATAGTGAATAAAACTAGAGTACTGTACTACATTTTGGCAGTGACAGTATGTATGGGATCTGAAAAAACTAAATTGAAATATGAAAACATGTTTCAGACAATAGGTAACGTAAAATACATTGTTTCTATGTTAGAATACTTTAAAAAGTACTAGTAATAGAAGTAGAGCTAATAATTCCATTGATTTATCTGTTCAACCTTTGCTCTGATTGTAACTGAAATGCCTAATGACCGGTTATGTCTAGGAATGCCAATGGCAGAAATGCCATCTAATTCCTGTGTAATTATTGTAATTATGTATGTAATTCCAAATTATCCAACTAATAATTAATTAATTAATTATGAATTCCTAATTGCTAAGATGTAGTAAAAAATATGTAATGTAAATTTATTGTCCATCATGTTAAGATGATCTACCATTTAAGTTATTTCTTATGATGCTTGGTAGTATTTGACAGTTTATGTGTACAGTATATGCTCCCCGGCCAAGATTCGAACCCAGACCAAAGTGCTCACGAAACTCCAGGTGAGTGTCTTACCACTTCGCCACGGGGACTGATAAATAATAATTTATCTAGGTAAAAGAACATGCATTCAGAATGAGTTACAAGCAGAATGTGTGATTAATAGATAGAGCTAGAATATACTATGCCTAAGGCCACTAATTCGCACAGCGTTTCATGCTAGATGTGGAAAAAATCTTAAAAGCTAAGATAAAACTAATTTAGATCAAAAGCATTAATTGAACTGTAGTAGAAAAAAAGAATGACAATAATTATATATTGATTGGAACAGCAGAAATTGCAAAAAGAACAGCAGATAATAATACTTCTAACTAAACAGACACTAAAGAAAATAAAAAAAAATAAGTTAAAATATGACAGGTATCAGTAGTTTTACAAGTTAGTCATTAATCATTAATGTTTGATGATAGCAACACGTAGGTTTCATAAATACACAAGTGTGGGTTTTTATCCTCTGTTATTATGTCTGTGAGAAGACATTACCATTACTTACAAGACATAGGTCGACATTTAGGAGGCAAGGAAGGTTACATGGAGTTTATTAGGTAGTACTTAGTTTTACTCAAACTGGTTGTGAGGGGCAGTATTTGATGAGATTGGGAAGGTTGCTCCGCATTTTGGAACCCTTACTTTGCAAAGTATATCTAATTTAATTAAGTCCCACTCTTGGAATATCAAACAGATATTTGTTTCTAGTGTGGTGCCCATGGATTCTGTTACTACTCTCTAGGAAGCGTTTAAAAGGTCATGATTAACATTATAGTTCAGAGTTTTATGTATAGAGATAACACTTAAGAGTGTGCGTGTGACTTGATATCTAACACATTCAAAGATTTAAGTAATAGAGTAAGTAAAAACAAAGAGGAATACAAAATACTATTTCTCCTATGCAAAATCTAAAACAAAAATTACATCTAGAATTGATGTGGGAAAATTTCCCGCATTTTACTTAAATTATATTCAATTAAATTTACACTAGGGAAACTTATTTTTTGTTGATATAAAAACTTTAACAAAACTAAATTTACTACGAAGAGAACCATTATAATTAATACAGTATCCCCATTCTCTGTGGAGAAAACGCGATTCAGCTTCACAATACATATAGAATGTATAGAATGTATTTAAGCTTGTATTTAAATTCTTCAAGCATACAGTCCAAAGACTGAATTATGCTTTATTGAATGTTGTTACCCAAAAAAAAAAAAAAAAAAAAAAAAAAAAAAAAAAAAAAAAAAAAACTTTTTTCTTCTTAACCTGTTAATTTGTGTTCACTGATCATGGGAAAAATAATAAAAATATCGTAAGTGGCATATATTGCCCGCTATAGGGCAAGGAAGTCTGGCAAAAAAACAGAAGCTGACTCAGCGTGCGTCCCAGGTGGTCTGTTGATCGCCAGCTGTCAGGCCGGAGTTGCTACAAAGAGATAATTACCTAATTATTTCGATGTCTCTGATTGATTTTTCATAGTTTTTTTGCTGTAATATTATTCAATAGTGTGTAGTTTGATATATTTATATAATAAAATGAGTGAATCATCACTGTACTCATAAATATGGTGTGCATATTGTTGATTCAATTATGTTCATCAATCAGTGAACAAATACTTTGTCGGTTATTACACTATATACACAGGTTATATATAAGTATCTGCATGTTTTGTTCACCATAACGAACCACTAAGTTGCTATTATGAGTCAAAAAGTAACGAGGAGTGACCGCCGTGTACCAGCCAGCCACTCACGCCCTCCCTCAAGTTACCTGACTCACCCACATTCTCCTCCCACAATACTTTTTTGCTCTTATATACAAATGTTATATATAAATATTTACATGTTTTGTTCACCATAACTGTACATCTAAGCTTGTATGGTGAGTAAAGGCACAAAGACGTAGGACCTCACACAGTCAGCTGATGGCTGCCGCCCTCAAGGCCAGACGCATTAATATTTCTCCCCCAACAATACTATGTGGTGTTATTACGCTATATACACACACATTATATATAAATATCTACCTGTTTTATTCACCATACTTGTACATGTAAACTGGTATGGTGACCAAAGACCATCGTGGTAACCAGTAAACAACACCGTCGTCTGCACGGTGACATCGTGCAGACGACGCCACCTCCCTCACCAAAATGGTGGCTCCCAACCTACTCTTGCTGTTTATACCCTCTATACACACGTTATATATAAGTATCTACATTTGTGTTCACCATAGCAAACCAGTAAGCTGGTATAGTGACTGCAGTCAATAAAAGGTGGCCACACACACTCAGAAGACATCGCCACTACCCTCCCTCCAACAGCATTACTCCTCCCTCCATGGCACAGCGCTAAATATCACCACAATCCTGCTATTATCAGAACCCTGGTCAGTTTTATCACAGTCAGGGGTCTTCTGTAATAATATCATCGCTACATAATAGCATAAACAAGTATATTATGGCATTTTTAGGCGATGCTGTGGTCACAAGCTGAACAGCAGTGCTGTGAGCTCATCCTGCGTGCGTCAGGCTTGGTTGCTCACTCAATAGTGAGGCCCTTCACACCTGGGAATTTGGCCCACAATTTTTTTAAAAAATGGCGTCTGTTTACAAGAGCCCTGATGAAAGTAATTACCTAAGTGTAATTACCTAAGTGTAGTTACAGGATGAGAGCTACGCTCGTGGTGTCCCGTCTTCCCAGCACTCTTTGTCATATAACGCTTTGAAACTACTGACAGTCTTGGCCTCCACCACCTTCTCACTTAACTTGTTCCAACCGTCTACCACTCTATTTGCGAAGGTGAATTTTCTTATATTTCTTCGGCATCTGTGTTTAGCTAGTTTAAATCTATGACCTCTTGTTCTTGAAGTTCCAGGTCTCGGGAAGTCTTCCCTGTCGATTTTATCAATTCCTGTTACTATTTTGTACGTAGTGATCATATCACCTCTTTTTCTTGTCTTCTAGTTTTGGCATATTTAATGCTTCTAACCTCTCCTCGTAGCTCTTGCCCTTCAGTTCTGGGAGCCACTTAGTAGCATGTCTTTGCACCTTTTCCAGTTTGTTGATGTGCTTCTTAAGATATGGGCACCACACAACAGCTGCATATTCTAGCTTTGGCCTAACAAAAGTCATGAACAATTTCTTTAGTATATCGCCATCCATGTATTTAAATGCAATTCTGAAGTTAGAAAGCATTGCATAGGCTCCTTGCACAATATTCTTTATGTGGTCCTCGGGTGATAGTTTTCTATCTAGAACCACTCCTAGATCTCTTTCTTTATCAGAATTCTTTAAAGATTTCTCACATAATATATAGGTTGTGTGGGGTCTATGTTCTCCTATTCCACATTCCATAACATGACATTTATTAACATTAAATTCCATTTGCCAAGTGGTGCTCCATATACTTATTTTGTCCAGGTCTTCTTGAAGGGCATGACAGTCATCTAAATTTCTTATCCTTCCTATTATCTTAGCATCATCAGCAAACATGTTCATATAATTCTGTATACCAACTGGTAGATCATTTATGTAGACAATAAACATCACTGGTGCAAGAACTGAACCCTGTGGTACTCCACTTGTGACATTTCTCCATTCCGATACATTGCCTCCGATTACTGCCCTCATTTTTCTATCAGTCAGAAAATTTATCATCCATGTTAGAAGCTTACCTGTCACCCCTCCAATATTTTCCAGTTTTCAGAACAACCTCTTATGTGGAACTCTGTCGAAAGCCTTTTTTAGGTCCAGATAGATGCAGTCAACCCAACCATCTCTTTCCTGTAATATCTCTGTGGCTCGATCATAGAAACTGAGTAAATTCGATACACAGGATCTTCCAGATCGAAAACCATACTGTCTGTCTGATATTATATCATTTCTCTCCAGGTGTTCTACCCATTTAGTTTTGATTAGTTTTTCCAATACTTTCACTATTACACTTGTCAATGATACAGGTCTATAATTGAGGGGGTCTTCCCTGCTGCCATTTTTGTAGATTGGAACTATGTTAGCCTGTGTGGTGAACCCTGTGTATCCACGGGCCGTTTAAATCTTGCATAGTACTCCAAAGCATCACATGATGCGATGTGCAATTTATTGCAAGTCGGTCAAAGCATCATATGATGCGATGCGCAATTGAAGGGTTAATAAAATTAC